ACCACTGGATTTGGAAATGAGAAGAAAGAATGCCTTCAGAAGACGAGGACGTGGGTTGCACAAATAACAACATCAAACGTGATACCACAGAGTTATTTTGTATTATACATTATCTTCACATTGAAACATCCACATTGATCATCTACGACACAACTGTAATAATTTTGAGTATATATTTACTGTAATATTAGTGTGTGTATATATATATATATATATTTATATATAAAATCAAGAGGCACTTCCAGTAATTCTGGCAAAAAGGGAGCATCAATATTGTGTCTAAGCTAAAAATAATAAAAATAAATATGATTTATCTATTTTATCTGTACAGATTCTACTTTTTACAAAACAATTATCAGCCATTAACTAAATCACTTAGCAAATACTTGTGATGGGATGATAATAAGTATTGCTATATATATTAAGTGCAAGATACAGGTGAAAAAAAAAAAACCAAAATTGATCTCAATTGCAAAATGATCACTTAAGTTCCAAAGCCTCACTCTGTATTTCCAAAAGTTGATAAATTTGGCAAAGTTATTAGTAATAAACATACTCAAATTTGTTAAATTTGGTGAGAATTGCATTGCTAAAAATTGTCATATACAAATAACACCCCTGCCGTGTCACTTTGGCAGTTACTTGAAAATATTGCTTTTAAGGACATCGAGTTAGGTCAACCCAAAACATTCTAGTTTACAAACACCCAGCAAGGTAAAATATGTGGGACCTGCTATTCAGAACTTTCCATTAGCAATTTTTTGTGTGTCACGAAGAGGTAAGGAGTAATCAGGACAAATGGTCTATCCGGAAACCAGAACATATTTTAACATCAAAAACCAAATCAAAGTAACTAAACCAATGAAAAATAAAAAACCAAAAAGACTGAATTCAGATCAAAGTTCTTCGGTTGTATATCCTAACATCATCCTAGAAAGCGAGGGAGAATATCGCTTTTGTTGTTTTGCATCCAGAGCTCCTGACTATTTATAAAAGCACCAATATCTATTTTGTAATTTACATGATAAAATGTTTTAGGAAAAAATATGAGGGCATGGGTGAGGACCAGTGATATTTATTTTCAGTGCTTGTCAACTATTAGACTGTCCTTTTTGGAAAAAAATGGTAAGCATTTTAGTGTGCAAATATATTAAGACATACGTTGACGGTCATAAATGTAGTGGGAAAAACAACAGTCAGAAAATGTAATATTCTAAAAGTCTCACATAACCATTATACAGAGTATAACAAAAAGCAGTGATTTTTTAAACTAATGAATGAAGATTAAAAGTCAAGCCATTAAAACTCCACTAATGGGTATTATATAGCTATGTTAGGCTTATTATTTAAGGATAGCAACACCATAGTACTGGATTATGCTTATAAATAGCTAAAATGGGGTATCTGACATCATAGGGATTTTATGAGTCATGATAATTCATGGTTGAGATTTTTTTTTAAAAAAGGACAATTTTAGCAATCAACACATTACATACTCAAAGAGACTAAGTATAAGCAGTTATTTTTAATTTCACATTAAATATATGAGAATCTTGCTATTTATATAGGAAATAAAATTATTAGAATTAAAAAAAAATCCTTCATTTCAAAAGGTATCCAACAGCAGTTTCTGAGCTCTAAAGACTAACTCGCATTCAGAAACATGTATAAGTGCTCATTGTAATAAGGGAAGTCAGGACTGGAATATAGACCCATTCAGTCATTTTATGCTAAAGTAACAAATAACTAAATTGATTCATGAAGGGGTGTCTTAGGATGTCCTTCAAGTGGACATTTTGTTCACTCCCAATCTAGGGTTGTTTTCTTTTTCTTTCTTTCCTATTTATGCATTTATTTAGCTTCTTAGAAACATGAAATTCACAATGACACTTAGGTATGGCAAGCTAGAGCTTAAAGGGAAAGACATTCTTTCTCCTTATGATGGCAGAGGAGAATTTCTGGTTATTTTTCCTTTCACGAGTTAGAAAACAAAAAGTAAAGCTGAAGAGAAGCCATACTTTCAGGAGTCTGACTTCTCTTTTTCTATTTTTTGTTTAAATTTTTTATAGAAAAGAATTTCCTGCTGTAGTTCCACCTTCATTTGAAATAGGTACTTTCCACGACACTGGAAACTAAAGTGTTAAAATTTTAAATTACTTTTTTACTAATGATTTTCTAATTATAATCTACTATTTAATCATACTTGGCAGATAAATACAGTGTGTATGATTTATTAACTGGTGGGTATTTTATCTGTGAAAGTCAAAATCAATAAGGCTTAACTTTTCTTAGTAGTGAAGATAAGTATTTTGCTTTTTAATTACATTTAAATTTAGTAAAATAAAATCCACATTTATAGTCCATTTATTTTATAAAAATCTAAATCATGATAAATTGCTGCATAATATATTCTTCTGTCTTGGGATAATTTAGAAGAGTTCCGACTATAATTTGTACACCCAATCAAAGCTAAATTACTGGGAGTAAATTTAATTTTATCATACATTTATTGGATCTTTCATAAAACATGTTTCCTTATGAAACATGAAGACATGAGAAAAAGATGTGAATCTTTTTTCTAGTTTTCTGTTATATTATTTTTAGTTCTGATTATATCAGAATAATTCAGCATCTCCATATTATGGAATGTCACTTTGCAAATCTCAGTTTAGCTGAATTAAAAAAAATTTTAAATAGCTTAGGCTCAAGAAAACAAGTTAAATGTAAAGATTCTTCATAGTATTTACATTTGATGATTTCATATTACTCTTTCAAGCATTTTTGTTTGAATTATTTGCATGATTTAAGAGCCACTTCTTGGGGCCAGCAGGTAGCATAGTGGTTAAGGTGCTGGACTCCCATGTGATCAACCATGGTTTGAGTCCCAGATCTGGTGGCTTGAAACTCACACTGGGTGCATGAGCGTGTGTGCCCAAAATCTCAGGAGGAGAATAGAAGAGAAGGGATCACAGCACGAGCATCCTCTCTGCAATGGGTGGTATTTGCTCTAGAATCGAACCAAAATGGAACAAACAGAACAGTATTCTAGTTTGAATAAGTGGATACTTCCTTAAATGTAATACTGGGAAATTCCTTCACCTGTCAAATGAAGAACAATATAGATACATCCTTGTGATTTCTTGCTTTCTGTCTCTCTCTCTCTCTTTATCTGGTGAGCACATACACTTTGTAGCAAAACCCTCAAAATAAATAAATAAATAAATATAAAAGAAAGAAAGAACCATTTCCTGATGGGAAGCAATGAGAAAATGAGAAAAATCTGTCTGACCAGGGCATGTTCAAGATGTCTTACCTATACAGAGAAGGGCTAGCTTTTCTTCTGTGTTCCACAGCTCTTCAGGGAAGTGGAAGCTCAGGGATACCAACACACATCACAGTTATCAACCTGACAAACATGATATGGAGAAAAATACTAGATGCCTTTAGACTTGCAAATTTAGGTTCTTTTAAGAGGCTTAAACTTCCAATTTTGTTTCCCATCTGTACATAATTCCATACACTTTATGGTCTTACTATACTAAAATAAGTGATACTGGATCAATGTTTTTGAATCAGCAGACTAAAGTTGAATATAGAACCATAACCTCCAATTTTGTGTCTTCAAATATATTTAGCCAAAAAAACCCCAAAACACTATTATTTTTGTTACCAACGTTAACCAGCTGCTAGAACAATTTGCTGGTGTGAACATAAAGATCAGTTCAGGTAAGATGAAAGCACCATTATGTAAGGCCAAAACAACACTCCTTAAATGCAGTGTGTTAGGCTATAACACAAATTAAATTGCCCAACATCCACAGTGCATAACATAGACTGAGAAATATGTTCTTTTGCTGTCCATGGTATAATAGTGTGAAACACACAAATACAAATCAACCCTCAGTTTAAGTTTTCTAAATCAAAGTTTGTAGTTAAACTCATTGCATGTAGTTTCATTCATTCCTACTTGGATTTTCAATACATTTGAATATTTTCTAGAGGAGCAAATTGACATATAAGTTCTAAGAACAATTTAATTCTGGAATGTTCTTTACCTAAACTAGCTAATTGTTTTCTTACGAAAAATCAATTTGCTCCTATAGATCTTAAAAATGGACAAGATCAGTAAATTCATGATTTTACTTTATAGGAAAATCATGAGAGAAGTGAATGTCCTGGAACAGCAGCCATAAACTATTTCATTACTTGTTAGGAGAGAGGAATGGAAGAAACTCAGTTTGGTTTTAAAATACCTGCTTATTTTAGCTCTTGATGATTAGCATTTGACATTTTATTGGTATTTTTTCCATACACATTAGCTGATAATCTCCAGATGGAGGAGGCTTGATTTACTCTAGATTATGAAAGTTCACAGAAAATTCACAGAGTCTGTGAATTTCCTGCTGCCAGTTTGAAAAGGCATTTTATTTGTGAATAACTTATATATCAGGAAAGACATTAAATGGGATTGGGGTAAGGATGGAAGAGAAGAATTAAGGCCCTTATTGTGATTTTCGACATTATTTTAGAAATATTGTAAATGATGAGCACAGTGGAGATCCCTACCGTGATATGGAAGCACCAATAATACCTCTCAAGGTAGGATACCGATAACGTTTTTTTGATTGTTCACTTTTCATTAGTCGGGAGTTGTGCATCACACAAATAGTTCACTTTTATGAAGCAGTCATTTCAAACTTTAGACTTTATTTACAATGATAATTTTTATATTTTTATTACTTAGAAAATAATTTATATTTTTCCATCATTTAAACAAAAAATAGGCCTGAGTCTCATGCCTTTTGCACAGCTTTTACCTTCAAAGAAAGTTCTCTGGGAAAGAAAGGTGAGGGACATGAAGACATTGCAAATCAACAGTCTACAGATGTCTAATGCGAACAGTCTGAATGACATTCAATTCCTTTTCTTTAGTATCACTGTGATGGCAATGGGTGGTATTTGCTCTAGAATCGAACCAAAATGGAACAAACAGAACAGTATTCTAGTTTGAAAAAGTGGATACTTCCTTAAATGTAATACTGGGAAATTCCTTCACCTGTCAGATGAAGAACAATACAGATACATCCTTGTACAAAGCTGGTATTTACCTGTCACTGAAAGCAAAACCAGGTCTTCTATAAACGACAATAGAATTTCGAGTTTAAAAAAAGAGAGAGAGAGGTGGTGTTTTCACCAAGGAAACAAGATTCTACAAGTCGGCTTAGATGAGAACTAGAAATGATTAGCATGCTGAAAATAACATCGATGACACTCAGAATACACCTGGTCTTTGCTTAACAGAGAGCAACCACAGGCATCCAGAGAACCAGGTACAACTTGTCCTACCATTGTCTCGCCACTTCTATATAAGATCCTTTTCTCAAAGAGGGATAGAAATTCCTTCATTTGAAAGACCTGAGTTTATCTAATGGCACCTATAAATAGGTTCATATAAAAATGTAGTAAATTGCAACAAATACATTGGCACCACAGGAAGTAAGCTCTGGAAGTGAAGACGGTAATTGTGCTGCTCCCAGGAAGGGAGAGAACAATGCTAGCCAAATAAGACAAATCTCTTTTTGTGTCCCTACGCACATCTTTGAGATGTACTAGGTCTGTATTAAAGTCACACGCCTGGTGGATCCACCATCCTTTATTTCAATTGTCTTCTATCTCTAATATAATGACAATTTTTTTATCAAATAAAAATATTCCATCTGTCTGGATTAATGAACACAGTTTGGGGTGAAGAGGTTCCAATTGCTTTGGCCACTACTATTCCTATTCTTTCAGGTACCTTAAAACCAACAAAACCCGACAATGTGCTGAGAACCCCACGATGGTGGTCAAGCTGCTTGTACTCGGGCTGTGATAAAATGGCCAATGAATGTTCTATACTGACTCACAACTGCTCTGCCATTCCACTTGCTCCACACCTGGCCTTTTCTCCAATTTACAATTATTTTAGAGATGTATAGCATTTGGAGAAGGGAAAAAAGATTAATTCATTTTGGTAAGTAATTAGATGCAAAGGGATATGTGTGTATAAACACTTTTTTTTCCCTCTTATTTTCAAGGGAAGGATAGCAGTTAAAATCATTGAGAAATGAATATGACTTACAGTGATTTTTTTCAAACATAAAGACACACAGATAATATTAAGAAAATGGAAACAACTTGGTAAGTCCTATATAATAAAGACCTAGTATTAACTCAGACACATATTGATGTATATTCTAATTATTTAGGTAGAGCCTGCATCAGTTGGATCCTTTTTACATTTTCCTACTTATTGGAAAATTTGCTTTGAAACCATGTTTATTTTTTATTTTGATTTTTTTGAAACCATGTTAAAATTTACACAACTATTGTATTCTTCTTACCTTATTTGAAAAATGCAGTGGGCTATGATAAGTACATGGTTTGGAAGAATACAATATTTGTTTATAAGAAACAAAGGTATTTTTTCATGTGAACACTTCTTTCTATGATTTCAGAGGAAATAAATGGTCGATATCACCATCAGGATTTACTTAGACGCTAAGATTGTGTAATAGTGCTGAAGGAAGTTAGAGCCAAAAATCACTGGAAAGAAACGGACATCAACTATTATATAAAAATTTGGTATTGGTTAAGAAAATCTTTCATCTGGGAGTCATGGACCCAAAATTTATTCAGTTAGCAAAAGTTACTAGTGAAAAAGCATTCTTGCAGCATCTCATTTAACTGGCAAAAATAACTGTATCAGGTTCTCATTTAAATTAGAATAGATGAGCCTCTGTCCACAGATCTCCCTGCAAATAAGTCATCCTTCTCCTACTGGTCTTGAAGATAGCTACAATGTATAAAAATGGCGATTAAAATATAACTTTATAAAAATGTTTCCCTTTTCCCTTTTTTTTAAAAAAGAGTTTGCTATCTACAGAAACAAAAAAAAACTTTATATTTACATCAAGATAACTACTCATGACATATATAATAATATGAAATAAAATATTGAAAGTGAGTATCAACTTTTTAAATAGAGGTTTGGCTCACAGCATAAACAAGTGTCAATAAACAAACAAACCAGAAGAACAAAAAGACTTTCAATGACAGCCCAATCCCCAAACAACCCCTCTATAATCTTCCCTGCTCAAAGAAGCATGAGGATGGGCCAGAGGGCAGGTAGAAGCTACCCCAACATGCAGTGTGTGGAATCCACAACTCAGGTCATCAGCCAATTGACAGCTGGCCAAGGATAAGTCCTTCCCTAGGTCAACACCCAAATCTAGACTGAAATGTTCTCCTTCATCTTACTATAGAACCCACCGTGAGTGTCCCTGTATCTTTTCTCCCTTCTTTTCATATCACACATTGTGTAGCATGATTAAGAAGACACAGGAGAAGTGTAATTTCCCAGGCCATTCCTGGCATCCTTCAGAATTCTAACCTGATTAAAAGACCTGAATCCAGCTCTTTAGGTGTGTATATGTAAAGAACGCCATCCACTTAAAAACGGTGATTTGATCTTAGGTGAGTGACATACATACTCACAAACGGCTCCTATACATTCATTAGGCGAGTCGCCTCGAAAATAGCTCAGCCTCCAGGTTTGAGGCTGGTGACAGCACGCCTCCAAGTGGTGCATCGCAGTAGTACCAGTCACACGGCCCTCTCCCCCAGCCTGTGAGTGCCCTCCATCTACAAAGGGACCTTTATTGAGCTAAGTGGAGGAGGGCATTTGAAGTGACCCCCTCTCAAAGACACTCGGGAGTGAATTTCCTTCAGTTTGTTCACATGTACTGAGTCATCTGCTTCAGCTAGTCTACGGACAACGAAAACCACACAAATCTCTTCCCGCACGCGTGCACACAGGCACCCTTTCAAACTCTGTGCACACAGTCTCACAAGCATGCGTGCGCACACACACACACACACACACACACACACACACACACAGTGTTGGCAGGATGGATCAGAATTCAATAATGCTCTGGAACTTTCATCTCTCAGCCCTAAGAGCAAAAGCTGCTTAGTTGGTAACCTACATTTACTGCACTGTTTCCTTGCTGAGCTGCACCATTTCCTTTGTGATTTGTTTTCCTTTATGATGTATTATATCACAGTGACCACTATATATCTTAATATGAACGCTACTAAATTGTGGAGCCAGCAATCCTGGCTTTCAGTGTGTACGTGTGCGCACATGTGTGTAAATATGTTTTACATGTATCTACGTGGGCGCTTATATACACACACACATATATATTTCCTCCTTTAAAAAAATCCTTAGAAGCTGGTGTTGCAATGTGAAAGCTTCTTTGAATAAGAGTTGTTTTTTTTTTTTTTAAACAATGTACCTCACTGTAAAAATAAACACGAAAATGTTGAAGAATCCCCAAACACAATAGTCATTGGCCGTCCTCTCACATTTCTACAGTGTTGTGTCTAAGTGTTGTGCTGGCTTGGAAGAGTCTGGGACAGATGATCTGTTAGAAACACAGCTCGGTCTATCCACTGTCACTGGTTTGGCTCTGCCGTTGGAGTCTCCTCTCCTCGCAGTTTCCCTTTCTCTTCCTCTTCTTCCTTGATGGCCTGGATTTGCTCCGATGAGTGTTGCTGAGGGTTCTGGTCCAGGGACTGATTTTCGGCACCTGCCAACCGCTGCTCGTCTTCAATGACTTTCTTCCACATCTTGTGATTCTGGAGGAGGTGCTGAGTTATTTGGCAGTAGATTTTCCTCCTTTTGAAAGTTTTCTTTCCTAAGACAAAACAAAACACTAACTTAGACTACTTCCTTGTGTGTGGAGCATGTATAGATAATTCTTTTCAGATTATTGATAGGAGTAAAGTATCGAATGACTGTGTGTGTGTGTGTGTGTGTATATATATATATATATATATACACATATATATATATATATGTATATATATATCAGTGGGTTGTAATAATGCAGTCTTTGAGAATTGGAAAATGGTATTAACTATTAAAAACTATAATTCAAGGGGTCAGCAGGTGGCATAGTGATTAAGGCATTGGACTCCCACATGGCTAACTGTGGTTCGAATACCAGACCCAGAGACTTGAGCCTCATGTGGATGCATGTGCATGCATGCCCAAAGCCCTGAGAGGAGAATGGAGAGGGGATTGCGGTATGACCATCCTCCTCAAAAGTGATTTCTCACTTTTTCTAATCTGTCTTTCTGGTGAGCACAAATGCAAATCACAAAAATCTCTCTTAAAAAAAAAGAATTCAAGACACAAAAATAACTATGAAAAGTATTTTAATATTTGGTAATGTCTAGTACAAGGTTCTGTTTATATCTTGGTATTATAATTCCTATCTACATTCAGCTCTCAAGATTTTTCACCTAAACCATTGAATAACTTCTTCTTGTGTCTTCTCTTATCAACCAGTTTAACTTGGGAAAGTCTACAAGGTTCATTTCTCTAAAAATGCATTTTCTTAAACGTTTATTTAATGAGAGAGTGAGTTAGAGTATCCACTCTGAACAGGGCCCTGACACCATAATTCACACCCAGCCTTCAGCTAGCCCCTATCGTGGGCAAGCACATCTCACATTCTCAGGGAGCTCTCTAGACTTGAATTGGGAACTTCTTCCCATGTGAGATTCCTCACAGTGCTGTGTTTTACTGCTATACCACCAGTTAGCCCATGAAAATGGTTTTGGTATTTTTTTCTGCTTCATGTAGACTAAAAACTTAACTTCAATCCCCATTCAAAGTTTTCCTATAAGTAGGCACAAACCCACTTTCGTAGTCTTCCTTCTGCAGTCTGATTTCTGTACTTAACTTCTCTTTGTTCTTTATATACACTGGACTTTTCTTTCAAGTTGTTTACTGCTGAAATGCTCTTCCCAATCACTGACAGTTCATATCCATTCATTATTTTAAGACACTGTCAGATTTTACTGAATTGCTCTTCTAAGAAATAATATGTCTCAGGACTAGCAGTTAGTGTAATGGCTATGTTGCTGGAATCCCATGTAGTCGACCACAGTTCAAATTCCGGACCTGGTGGCTTTAAACCTACGCACTGGGCATGTATGTGTACGTGCCCAAGATCCTGAGAGGAGAATGGAAGAGAAGGGATTGTGGTGTGGCCATCCCCTCTGGGGGGTAATTTCTCGCTTTCTGTGTCTCTGTCTCTCTCTATCTTTCTGGCAGGTGCACGTACCCTGTAGCAAAAATATCCTCTCCAAAAAAAAAAAAAAAAGAAAGAAATAATATGTCTCTCTCTTCTGAATTCTCAAGACATTCCATATATAACTCCCAAGGTACTTTCTGGGCTTTTTATTTCCCCCTCTTTGTGTGTGTGTGTGTGTGTGTGTGTGTGTGTGTGTGTGTGTAAGGTTTTTGCTATAAGGCATATGCACTTGCCAGAAAGACAGAGAGAGTCAGAGAGACAGAAAGTGAGAAATCACCCCCTAGGGTAGATGGCCATGCCACAATCCTTTCTCCTCCATTATCCTCTCGGGATCTTGGGCATGCACGCACACATACCCAGTGTGAGTTTAAGCCACCGAGTCTGGGACTAAAACCATGGTTGACTACATGAGAGTCCAGTGACATAGGCATTACACCAACTGCTGGTCCCTTATTTTCCCCTCTTATTCTTTTTTTTATTATCTCTCCTTCTGGTAACTGTACATCCAAAATTATTTGGAGGGAACTCACCTCCTTTTTTTCAATTATGCAGCCCTAGAAAAGGTTGTCAAACTCTACTTCTCCACCCATTACCGAACTGTATCACAGTGATTGGTCAATGGGTAGATGTGTAACCCAAGTCAGACCAATCAGAGTCCTTCACTGGGAATTCTTCCCCCAGTGGTATAAAATGAATGTGAAGTTGACAGGTACGGACTAGAAATCTTTTCCCCTCTGCTTGTGTATCTTGAATAAAGAAAACCGAAAGCTCACTGAAAGTAGTTACAGACTCGTGAAAAGCAAGGTTGAAAAGACATGCTCTCAGGCAGGAGAGGTAGAGACAAGAGCAGGAGCAAGTAAGCACTGATCAAGCCAACATCATGTTTATGGGAACCAATAATTTCCCATTTCTGTATACAATGATACAATTGTGATTGTATCGCTTATAATAAAAATGATGTCCTAAATAATGTACTTCAAAATACTTAATTTGTTTGTAAAAACCCTTAAATTTAATTTGTTATTATAATTTATTTTCTTTTTAAGTTTGCTATAGGGCACAGGTACTTACCAGAGAGAGATAGACAGAGAGAGAAGGGAAGTGAGAAAGCAAGGCATTAGGTCTGGGACTCAAACCACGGTCAGCCAAGTAAGGAGTCCAGCACTTTAACCACCACACCATCTGTTGGCCCCTTTTTATATATCCTATGCATTAGATTCTCTTCTAGACTATAGTTTGTTGAAGGAGCCTTGCATAGACTTGTACAGATCTTATACACAACAAGGTTCTTTAATAAATAAATTATGTTTTTCTATGGTCAAACAAGTTAAAGTTTTCAATACGACATTATAGAGAATTTTTAGAGAATTACATCTCTCAATTGAAAAGTATAATGAAATCAATATTGACAGAAGAAACAAAAGATGTTTTAAAGAAGATGGTTTTAATTAACATCATAATTCACTATTCAGGCTTCTAATTCCTTTTCTATTTGTTATACATCTGATATATACTGTGTATTGTGCTAGGTTCTATTGACTTTTTGGTAGACATGATAGATACGCCTGTCTCAGGGGCTGGGCAGGTAGCGTGGTAGTTAAGGGTGCTGAACTCCCACATGGCCAACCACTATGGTTCAAGTCCTTTATCTGGTGGCTTGCCTTCTCACTATCACTCTCCCCCTCTCTCTGGTAAAACAGAATACTACTGCTACTAAAAAAAATTGAATAAATAATTTAAAAAAAAGGTATACTTGTCTGCATGGAGCTTTTATTCTAGTGAGAAGAAAAAGCAAACAAGTAGGTACAATTACAGTGAGTTTTACAAAACTGTGAAAGGTAGCAGAAAGAGGAAACATCTCATTTGAGAGTATATTGCATGATGATGGTGACTGGGACTAGAAGGAGGGTAATGGAAATGAAGGTAATTAGATAAATATTATTAGATTGTTGGAAAGGTCATGATGCATTTTTGCATGGAAAAATACAGCATGACTTTGCTAACAACCCAGTAGATATATTTGTGAGGTAGAATCAAAAGGACTTTGAAACTGATCAGAAGTGGGGAATAAAGAAGAGGAAGGACTCAAAGACGACCCTGAGCTTTTTGGCCTGAGTAGTTGAATAGATGGTGATAAGTTATCCTGGGAAGGGAGACATTGGAAGGGCAACAGATATGAGAAGGAGTATGCTGAACTTGAAATGTCTGGGAGACCCTAAAGCAGAATGGTAAAGGGTTCAGCTGGTCAGGAGCTGAGTGGAAAGGTCTGTTCTTTTCTTCCTTCCTTTTTTTAAAAAATAATTATTTATTAATTTTATTTATCATTATTATTACTTTTTTTGGTTCTTTTTTTTTTGTCTTAGAGATTTTTGCTAAAGGGTACATGTGTTCACCACAGAGTGGGGTGGCCACACTGCAATCCCTTCTCCTCCATTCTCCTGTTGGGACCTTGGGCACACACAAACACACATCTAGCATGAGTTTTAAGTTGCCAGGTCGAGGACTCAAACTGTGGGTCGACCACATGGGAGTCCAGCAACTTAACTATTATGTCTTTTGCTGATCTCCATTATTATTTTGTTAATTTGACCAGATAAAGACAGAACAATACAGAGGGAAAGTGAGAAAGCAAGCCGCCAGGTCCAGGACACGAACCGTGGCTGGTCATTTGGGAGTCCAGTGTCCTAACCACCACATCATCTGCTGGTCCCAAAGTCTGTTCTTTTCTAAGCAACCAGAATCTATTGTAACACTCCATACTTTCATCTGAGTGATCATTTTATGCATAGACCAAAAATTTAGAAGTTAGGCTGAAATCCTCCCATTAGACTAATGCAGAAGCTTTTTTCTTCCCCCTGTGGGCATATCCACAAAGCTCCATACTCTAGTAAGTATTCCGTAAGAGTTTTACTAAATGAATCATTTTCTCTCTAGTTTTTGTTCCACAGCTCCTGGTAAATTATGAAGAATTGATAAGTGGTGAAAATGATGTAAAAAAGTGGTCCACTACTTATTCTTTACTTGAGACCACATTAAAAAGCTACTTGTACAAGTTACTAGGGTAATCAGAGGGCTGTTTTGTCTATTTAATGAAGTAGTTATAATTACATAACATATACTCCAGAGGGAAGTGGGAAAAAAAGGGGGAGAAAATACATTAACAATAATAAAAAACAGAAACACAAAAGTTAGCAAGAAAACACATAAACCAAAGCCAACAGCTATGGTATTTGCCAAAGAACCAGATCTCTGGGAGGCCTTCTATCATTTGTGTGGAAGTGCTAGTAATTCTTTAGATTTTTTTTTTCTTTTTTTTGGAGAGGATTTTGCACTCACCAGACAGACAGAGAGAGACAGAGAGACAGAAAGCGAGAAATCACCCCCCAGGGGGGATGGCCACACCGCAATCCCTTCTCCTCCATTCTCCTCTCGGGATCTTGGGCACGCACACGCATGCGCCCGGCGTGAGTTTAAGCCACTGGGTCGGGGACTCGAACTGCGGTCAACTACATGGGAGTCCAGCGACATAGCCATTATGCTAACTGCTGGTCCCTGTAATTCTTTAGATGGTTTTAAGATAAAATGCCACAGAA